CAAAGGCTGTCTGCTTTCTCTGATATGTGGATGCTAATTCACAACTGGGGTGAAGAAAAGAGTTGCTCTGGATTACGTAGAAAGAAGAGAAGGGAAGGATGGGTATAAGGGTAGAAAAAATGGTAGCATGAATCTAATATTATTACCCAATGTCTATGTATGACTATACAACAAATGTGATTCTACATCATGTACAACCAGAAGTATGACAAATTCCATAATATGTTGATGTATCAAAATGCATTTTATTGTCATGTATAACTAATTATAACTAATTAAAAAATTATTAGGTGATACAAGTATAAATATACAAATACAAAATATTGCATAAAAACTGAAAAGTATCAAACCATCTTCCTAGTGAATAAGTAAATATAACTAAAAATTTGGGGCCCTAAATTAACTTTTTGCTAGACAGTTTATGAGAACTTTGTGTATACTATCGCCTTCATGGGGCACCATCATAGTAAAGTCCAACACTATATTCAAGTTCAAACTTCTAGTAGTACTAGTTAGAATACAAAATTCTTGGTCTTTCTGATTATAATTCTTAATCAGCAGTTATCCCTGTATCCAAACTTTATTGTTTTTACTTCTACTAATTTCTTAATTTTTCATGTTATAACCTTTTAATGTTATTTTTCATTTTTTAAATTTCTTTTGTAATTTTGTGCATATTTTATCATTTTCAAAGTTGATTTATCCAAACATGCTTAGTATTTAAAATTAGGAGTGAAAGTATTAATAGTAGATGTTAAAATAAGCTTTTGTGGAGAATCAGAAGCTGAAGTCCCTTTGTGAATTGTAAATATATTAAAGGTCTGAAGAACCTAGAATTAAATCAACTTGAAATTTTAGGTTTTGAAGTCTGACACTTGTCTTCCAAAGTTGGCCACAACAATACCTCCATTTTCAAACCAGTCCTTACAATTCTCATATCAAAAGGTAGAAGATATTTTTATACTTACTTGTATCTGATGGCCCAGTGATTGCTAGGCCTGTCGAATATGCAGAACGGACACTGTGACAGTGGTGGTCATAACCCTTAACTGGCCTGGATGTGAGTGTTTCCTGGCTGTTGTAAAGTAGTCACCATATATTAAGTGCAGCTACCCACACCCAAGCTTAAGTGGAGGGACCTAGATGATGGGAGGCCACATTAGGGATATAAAAGCCAGGAAAAGTAAGGTGCTAGAGTGAAAATGCCAACTCAGAAGTTGATCTCCCATCATCAGCTGACCCCAATAGATGCCAAATGGAATAGAGGTGACCACCCACATCAACACTTCCTCATCTTCTGACCTTTAAAAAACAGAGCAAAAGAAAATGTTCAATGATTTCAAGACATTTCATTTTGAAGTCATTTTTAACATAGTGATCAATAATTGGAAGGGATTCAGCAAAGTGTGTCTGCTGACGTGCCTTCATTTTTTAAAAACATTTGAATGGCAGCTAGCGCTTATTTTCTCACTGAATTGCTCAGTTTGACCACTTTGCTCTTCTAATTCTGGAATAACTGGAGATTACTTCATATCTTATACCAGTCACTTATTAACTATGTGAGTTCTCAACATCCCAGCTTTATTTACCTCAGCAATCAAATGGGGTAATGAAGAGGACTTAATCCATTCTTTCATTATACTTATACATTTGGGAGGAATGGCTTACTGTGGTTGGAAACAAGGAGCTCTTTACCACTGAGGTATATCCCCCCATTTTTTGTTGTTGTTTTTTTTTTATTTGTTCTTTTTATGTTCTATACTGAGGTAGGGTCTCACTAAGTTGCTGAGGCTGGCCTTGTACCTGTAATGCTCCTGTCTCAACCTCCCAAGTTGCTGGGATTAGAGATGTGCACCACTGCACCTGGCTTTACTATATTTTTAAAAATAATAATTAATTTTCTTGTTTAGAATAAATGAAATAAATTATTTCTTAGACTAAAGTACTTGTTGACATTTTATGAACTATACGAGCATGTGCCTGTATCAGAGAACATTCACTAAGAATATATAAGAGTAATGAAGAGGGAGACATAAAGCTCCTTTTGTTCAGTTCACTAAGCCATCATATTTAATCATTGGTTTCTACATGTTTTTAATTATCTTCTTGTACTTTACAACCTAGATTTTCTGTAACGTTTTTGAAATATAAAGTGTTAGTATATGTCTATATTTCCTAATAGGCACAAGTCTGAATTTAATAATTTTGCAACTTTTTTCTCTAGCCCATAAAGTATTTTCTGTGGTTTTGCACAGTTTGCTTAATAAGTAAGGAAATGAGGTTCATGACTGTAGTCATTGTCTATATCTTATTTTGCTCTCAGTATTAGCCTCTAGGTCAAATCTATTTGAAGCATACTTCTTTATATTCACCCAACCCCCAATTTTGTCTCTCAATCTTCTTCTCTGTCTCTCTTCCACATACATACACACACTACACACACTTATTTAGGTTTGTCTTTTCCATTCTAGGCCTTAAGGTTAGACATCTTCTTCAGAGTAGCTTTCTCAGATATGAGTTTTTCTTATTTAGTCCTTTTTTTTTCTTTTTTTTATTGTTGGTCATTAAAAACATTACATCTTTCTTGATATATCATATTTCACAGTTTGATTCAAAAGGGTTATGACTATTTTCTGCCTAACTGAACTATAATACAACATGATAGGACTCAGCATTACTTCCAGTCTTTGTTTTAGTGAAGCTAAAACTCGAACGTTATAAAAATTTCAGGTCAGAATAAGAGAGAGAGTGGCTATGAACAGAGAATAAGATTAGCAACTTATTTGAAAATCTGTGATTTGTCTTATTTCCATGCTATATGTGGAGTTCTCTTCTATGCCCATAAAATCTTATTTTTCTCTGGCATCTGCCATCATGTTTCACCACATCATGCTAGTTAATCCTGCTATATAAGTTTTAAATTCAAGAAATATAAGTAAGCTCAAGAAGTGCTATTCATCACTCTTTAAAAAAATAAAACCAAATATATATGTTTTATTTACAGTATTGACTTCATACAAATCGAAATTTTGTGAAATATTATTGCATCAAAAGTCTGTAATGTGCACTTTTTCCCATAATTCTGTTTATGCTTAGAACAAAAGATAAGTACAATAGCAAAAAATCTTCTAAACTTGCCAAACAATCTCTTCCATCACATTTGTAGTATTGTGAGTTCAAAAATTCTCTTTCTATTGATAATTATTCATCCTAAAAGTTGTACAAAGAAGCTATACTAACTTTGAAAAAGTTTCAATCAATCCATCAGCTCTTAACAGGGCAAAAAGTTTTTACTATGTTTATTGATGAGAAATATTCTTTGCCCAGTATGGCCTGTGAAAACCTAGGCTAACCCTTTTTCCTTAGAGGCTTTGAACTTTAGTCCTAGCAGTCTTGGAAAAATCCTGCTGAACCCTTAGATTACTGAATAAGAGCAATATAAAATAAACTGTATATAGAGAGGGCTGTCAAGAAGCCTAAGCCATAATAATTTCCCTCATGAAATTTTGGGGTATACTTGTTGTTTTAGTCAGACTTTTTGCTAGCTACTGTGACTTAAAGATCCAACAAGAGCAACTATATAAGAGGAAAACTTTATTTTGGGGCTCATGGTTTCATGGGTCTTAGTCCATAGAAGTCTGCCTTCATTCCTCTGGGTTCAGGGTGAGGCAGAACATAATGGCAGAAGAGTGTGGCAGAAGGACAGGCCTCACATGATTAGGAAGCAGAGAGAGAGTCCACCTACCAGTTACAAATATATACCTCAAAGTTATGCCTCAATTTCTACCTCCTCCAGCCACATCCTACCACTTCACTACCACTCAGTTAATCCCTATCAGGGGATTAAATCAGTGATTGGGTTAAGGCCCTCCTAACCCAATCATTTCTTCTATGAACCTTCTT